GTCTCAATGTTATGTTATAAAACAAATGGTAAACGCCATAGCGTGCACTATTGAGTTATGGATGCACTTGGGAGGTTTGCTAAGCACTCAAGAAGCTAACTAGAGTCGCACGAGGCTATCGCCTCGTGCGACTCTTACGCTTCTTTCGTGCTTAGCAACCTCCTGCGTGCATCCATAACTCAATAGTGCACGCTATTGGGTTTACCATTTGTTAAATGATTCCTGCAGTGGCCAACTACTCTGGGCTAGGCCAATAACTATACATTCCTCGAAATTAATACACTTTTTTTTATATACAAACATCTGAGCATCTGAATGTCTGAGCGATTCACTGCAAATTTAAAAGAACGATACATCACTTACAAACTTGAAACAACCGAACTAAAGCTATAGTAGCTTGCAATCTATTGTGACTGAATTCCGATGATGGCGGTTAACACCTAGAAAACCGTACACTCACAAGGCGATAAGAAGTGCTCCTGCGAAATCTGTAGTTGGTGGTAATAACCTCTTTATGTAGCGAACATGCATGAACAGAAACCTTCAATTCGGCTAATTTACGTTCCATAATATCACTAAATATAGAAATACTGGTCCTGATACTGAATTTCTTCAGCACTAAAGAACTTGTAGATGCAAATATTCCGTAAATTAAACATTTTTACTTGCATTTGTCATTCAATAGGAAGATGCCAATATTACCGAAGTATCTTTATTGATGAAGTCAACAGGGAAGAACTCGTTAAACTTGGACAAATTGAGAAGGGTAAAATAATCCCACCATTTTCCATAATGTTTCCCTCCAGAGGAGCTAATATCCATCCCTTTCATTTAACTTTCCAGGGGAATTTTTCGGTGAATCAACCCTTCTCGATTCCAGTCCATGTTTTTGCAGTGTAGCAAGTATTGGTCCTGTAACCTGCTTCCTGGTCAACAAGTAAGTATCCAGTTTTGTTAATTAGTTTAAATAAGTTGTGTACTTTCTCAGTAGGTACGTAAGAAAAAGTGAATGATTCTGATTGTTGTAATAAAATGACGTCACAACGCAAACCGCCTATTGGGACTTTATATATTAAGAAAAAAATATCGTAAATAGAACTTAAAAATCCCAACCTGGTTGGAGGCTGACCAGTTGGCTATTTACAAGAAGTAGAGAAGTTGAATTTGGGACCACCAAACGTAGCTCCATCTTGTGACAGGGAGGAGGATTTGAGCCCGGGACCTCCTGATTACAAAACTTGCAGAAACTAGCGCCCAGTGACAGTTTAACATCACCAAACCCTGTCATATCACTCCTTTCAGTAGTTTTTTCTAATAGGACTACAACATTATATTAAATATTTTGCAGAGCGTTTGACTTTTCTAGGTCGTGTTAATGGTAGAACTCCTTTAATCTTAAACCCCCTATTTCTGGTGGTTCCTAACCATCGTTTTCGTGTGTTATAATTTTCCAGATGGGCGTTAAAAACGAACGAAAGCGTTATTCAAATCCTGCGTCAAAACCGTCGCTATTTCTTCAATGACGATGACATCAAGCATTACATCCGGGACAGTGATATCTGGCAGAGCTTTAAGCGGTGCACGATCACTGGTCTTTTAGAGATGACGGGAAAATGTGACGCGTCAGTTGACAAGAGCGAAATGACTCCTACACTTTCAAGGGCTGTAGATTATGGAGATGCTAAAAGGTGGCGTTCTTGTTTGACCTTAACAATGTTGTGCTACATCGATGCTCATTTACTTTAATGGGTGGAGAAAGGCATTTTAATAGTAAAATAGCTTGGCAATGAATTACGAAACACAATGATGTCGACTAGCGCTAGCGCTTGAACGCAGAAAGTTCAATTAATTCCGAGTAAGACGCATCACCTACTGATTCTTATTGGATACGGAAGCAGGATGAAGTGGGCTTATTCCGGGACATTGGTTAAGAATCAGGCTTCAAGTTCTTTACAAAGAATTCATCATCTTGATTGGAATGCGCATGACAATAACTAGATTCTTTAGTTACTAAACATAATTTTAAAATCCAAAACGTCTTCGACCGTACGGTCATCAGCATTGTTACATGATGGAAATTGATGGAAATTTCCATCATGTACCACTGACCTACGTTATGGATTTTAAAATTTTAGTAACTTTTGGCCTTTTATAAACATCTAAAAAGCAACTATTATGACAACCTTAGGTGTTTTGGTAACAGGGTTATCTTTCTTTCTAGGGTTTTATTGAAAAACCCAAATCATGACGATGAAATACCCGGTAAACCAAGGGAAGCCGAGAAGCTGTTCGTGCCTCCTCGCTCAAGACGACGGTCATCCGCCATCCTAAACTGCAGCGCGGCTGCGGTAGTTAAAGCAGTTTTATTGTTGAGAAAAAACTCTAAAAATGACGCCGACAACAATTTCAGTTTTCCTTTTCCTACGAAACCAAGCAGTGCGCCAGCAAGAGGTTATCAGCGCCGAAAACTTCATGGGAAATGGAAGTCTCCAACAGTTGGTCATCGACCAAAGAGTGTCAGAAGTCAGGAAGCAAAGGATGGTTCAAAACGCGGTTCAAATGGTAGAGTGTCTGTATTTGGTCGTAGCAATGAAGCTTCACCTCGAACTAACATCAAAAGCCAGAATAAAATTGGTGACCCAGGGAGGGATAATTACAAAAAGAAACTATCAAGCAGGGAGACAACAAAGAAGAAATTAAAGGCCGCTTTCAAAGTCTCCCCTACTGCAGAGAATACTAAAGAAGCAACGATAAAGGTCAAAAACAGAACGAACAGCCTAAGCTTTCTTCCTTCTGTTGCTATGGAGAGAAACGTTGCTCAAAAGCCTAATGTTGTCATTAAAGAAATTATCAACACCGGAATTCCTGGTCGGCGGTTTTCTCCCAAAAGTTTTCGCAGATTTGAGAGAAGTCTATTTGACATTCTAGATAATCCACCAAACTATAAACAAAGCTCATCCGATGAAGAATCTTCCTCTGCTACTAAAAGCCTAGTTTTAAATCCATGGAACATTTCTTTAGTTGCCAGTAAATGGATGTCCACTGTTCGACAAGCACAGCGGAAGAAAAATTCGCATTCTCCGGAGGCGATTCTTGACGATACTGGACAGCCGCCGATCATTGTCATTGAGGACTGGGCACCAGGTGCAGCGCTTAGCGAACCAGAAAGCGCAGAAACCGACGCTCAACTGTCATCGAATAGAAAGGCGCCAACGAGAAGGACGAGCCGGACTCCTACCCCTATTCTAGATGACGTCACAGAAGAGAGCGAAGAAGAGATTCAGAAGTATGAGCACGAGCTGATGCCCTCTCAAAGGTTAGAATTCTACGCCACACAGAATCGTTATGGACAAAAATAATTCACCTTCCCTTTCTTGGTTGAACCGCTTGAAACTCATTACTATAATGATCGAGAGATATTGTACCAAGAAATCCAAGACACCATGATATGCAGCAGTTCAAAGCAGTTGTTTCTAATGAAAAAAATTCTTCTAATCTCATTTCCTCTTTCAAAATGATAAATTCTTTGGGACAACCCTAATTATATACGTATATTAACATTGAAAACTTGTTTTTGTTTAGTCTCCTTGGAGGACATTTATAAATATAAGATCGAGCTGTTGAGGATTTTCATTTGCCCTTAGGCAACAACGAGCTATTTTAATTGATAATGTATTGCTCAGTTATTTATATGATATGATGGTCCTCCACAGTTCCTACATTACCTTGAACGGAAGACATTTGACCAAACTCGATGAGTGGTTAAAGTCTCTACCCAGATTTGGACACCCCATAAATTATCTAGGTTTTGCTTTTATTCTAAGTTAAAACGTTATTGTTTTCTAGTTTAATTTGGTGCCGTGAGATAAAGGAAAGCGAGTAAACACTGGACTTGATTTAGAAATATTAGTTCAAATTTAGTGGGTCTAAAAATTGCTACCATGTCATATTTAAATCAGATAAGCTAATCCGTGAGTCATTTTCTATGGTTTGTGATCTGGCATGCGTAGGTGGTACACACCCATTCACGAAGCACATGACTCGTGCAAACAGCAGTTGATCGATTTCAAGAAGGATGTTGAACATTTGGAGCAACAGCGAAAACGTTTTCAAAGGCAGCACAAAAAGAGGGCAGAGGAAGAGGCCGAAGAAGAGAAGAAATGCGAGGAAGAAGCACAGAAGGAGACAGTAGACACAAACTCAAAGGAGACGCCTGGCAAGAACACTTCTGAAGAGGTGAGTATTGATTCTTTGCCAGTGATTCAAAAGATAAAGACATTAACAGAAGACCCTCTAATAATCTCACATTGATGCTTGATGCTTGGAATTCAAGCCTGAGAACATTAATTCTAGCTATCTATTCTTACCTATAAATGTAGTTTTGGTACTGAAAGATCCGAGTCATGCTAAAATCAATTGTGAACCGGTACAAAATGTTTGTAAATACGGTGTATACGTGTGTTTGTATTAGACTGTTTTAGATCTATATATATATATATATATTTTTTTTTTTTTTTTTGCGCTATTTATAAATATTATGCTTGGTACTTTTCTTATATTTACCCTCTCCTCAATCAGCTTTCCGAGCTAAAGATAATTTTTCCTTTATCAGGGCTGTAATATTCGTTGCTCTAGTTATTTTTATCCTACCTATCGTTGTGCATATTGTAAAAGATACATATTTATTGAGACAGGTTTGTTTTATTTTTGATCAAGGCATACCGTCCAACAACGGGGCAAAGCCGCCACCTACGAAGAAAAGTGTCTATCAGTACAACTGTTGGGAGGAGTCGAGCTAAGACATTTTCTGAGGTCGGTGATCATATAGCAACCTTGCGGAGGTCTGAGTGAAGTTGCAATAAATTCTGCAGATCACAGATGTCAGCCATTGGTATATCAGCTGACAGTATAAATTTTGAATCATTCTCAGCTTTCAGTTACACTCAACCCAGACTCTACTGATATAAAGCAACAGACCGACAAATCGGCCGACCGAACGACTAACCAATTAACCGACCATACAAAACGAAAGAGTAACTAAATAACTTGATGAGAAACTGATCGACTTACTCACTGACTACAGTAGGATACAGTCAGGTGGACGGACAAAGAAACGACGAGTGGACAGACGAACAAAGAACGAGTGGACAAACTGAATAAATCACTAAATAAAACATTTGAACCTTTTCCTGATTATAATGTGCTTGTGTCTGACATAAGGTATTTATTTACTTTAGGTGCCACTGGAACACCATGGAAGTAGTAATCAGCTTCGTAGGACCCAATCCCTTAACCGTTTCCGCCTTATCAGCGTCTCTGCGCCAAATAAAATGTCGCCATCACTGGAACACGCTCCCTCAGCGTTAGAGGATCAAGAAAAAGAAGAGGCAATGCACGGGACAATGCAAAAAATGCGGGTGAAGTCAAGCAGAATAGAAAAAAGAAAACTTCTGCTAAGAAAGAGAGTTGAGGAACTGGAAAACATGAAGATTACAAGACATTACACATGACGGTGTAACCTAACTGGAGGATAACTAATAAATCTCATTTGCAACTGCAAAGGACTCTCTATGTTTCTATCTCTTTGTGTAACAGTATAGGGAAAGGGTGTACATGCTGTAGTAAAAGAGTATCTTAAGATTAACTCTTGGAATCTCAAGATCACTTTACATTGCGTGCTAATTTTGTCAGCCTGATCATGCATTTGATCAGGGGCTTTAAAAAAGTAAAGTGGACTACCCATTGTAGTTAAAACGTAACCTATTCCACTTCTTCGTGGTCATCTTAGCTTTCATGTAAGATTAGTGGAACTGAAATTACATCCCACATCGTCCTATCGCTTTATTTCTAAGGAAGTTCGAAAATATCGTTATACGTTTTGAAAACTAGTCGTAAAAAGAAGTTCATGGAGTTCATGTCACTTATATTTGTTTGAAGGAAAGCAATACTTGTTTTTCTTATTTTAGCCTACGTTGTATGGCAGGACAGGTAAGTTTAGATGCCTGGCGGCGAAATTTGGTGATCGTAGCGTTGTTTGTGTCGAAGGTATTGGAAAATCATTTTTATACATTTGCCATCGTTACACCAGCATGGTGACCAAACTGAACACTTTGCCAGAAAGTTTCACCAAAATCCTACAACTGAGTGAAAATATTGGTTGTTGTGCTATTAAAGGGATGCAAAGAAGTGCCGAAACCAAAGAAGAACGTCTTGAGGACTAATTAGAACTTGACTAAAGAACGTAATACAGTTTTGGCAAGGCGTTATATGTAAGTTGTGGTAAGATTATGATATTTGACTCAATATATAACCAAGGATCCAGAGCTATCAAGAAAAAAAAAAAAAAAGCAGTGTTTTTGAGTTCGTTTTAGCTATTTCTTCCCAAGAATGACCAATATCTAAATTCATTTACACAACATGAATACCCTGTCAAGCACAAAAGTCAAACGAACAGTGAACGACATCAAGTGGTGGATATTTATTCACGTTAAAGCAGCTATTTAAAGAAAGTGTATGGCAATCGCATAGGAAGGGCAAATGTCAACATGCATAAACTAAAGAAAGTTAGGGTTATGCTTGATAACTTCAGTTAGGTATTTACCAAAAAATAACATGGTAAAAGAAATTGCTCTTTCTGTGTTTGTCCTTTCAAGTTTTTCGTGGTGCTTTTTTTATTATTATTATTTTTTTTTATTTATTATTATTATTATTATTATTTATTTTTTTTTTTCATGTTTCATTTTTGGCAATTCCCGAGGATAAGAGCCAAATGTGCGGCGACGGAAGGCTAATATAATTAATTTCAACCCTGTCTATAACCGTGGATGTGGCCTCACTCTCCCTTTATAAATAACACGTTGAGGCAATAAATAACTTTCAGAGAATTGTATGAATAGTCTCATTAACTCTTTTGCTGATTTTTGTAAGTCAAGTCTATTACGTTTACACATTAAGTGCACTTCACATACAATGTGCCAATGAAATCGATCCGTGTTTTCTTAGTTTAAAGTTTTCTAAAATCTCCAGCACATATTGACCAAGTTCCGTCATCGAGTTAGTGGCACTCAAAACGTGACGTAGGTTCCTCGTTTAGTTTAACTAAATGTGTAATGTAGACTCACACGTATTCAAACTTCATTTAGAGCGCGCTGGCACCGAGACCAGAAAGATCAAATTTTAGTTAAGTAACGTGTAGCAGAAATGAAGTCAGGCCTTTTTGCTATCACTTTGGTGTTGTGTGTTAACGCAGGTATGATAATTTGAATAATTGTTTAATTAATTGTTTTATTGTTTCAAGCTATGTATTTAAGACAGTCGTCAAATTGTTTCACGAGTTTTCGTTAGGAAGATTTACAGAACGGTTTTTTTCTTTTTTTTGAGCCCTTTATTCTCCAGGTCGTCTTGTGTGATCGTCTGTTATTTTGAGAAATGATTAGATTGGATATTTTTTTAATTCAATAAATCTTTCATAGGTTTTGTTCGCCAATGTTCGAAAACGACTGAGAATATACACGGTATTAGTGAATCGGTAGCAAACTGAACTTGATTGGATTTTTTAACGATTTAGTTTTTTTTACGGTTTGGGCAGAGAACAATTCAGGCTCACACCGTTTTAACTAAATCATAGAATTTAATGTGTGGAAAAGAAATTCCCTGTAAATTAGCTCTCACAGAATTCGAGTATGGCTTTCCGTCGTCTTCGTGTAACACGTGTCGAAAGATCAATATATCAAATCATAATATCGACTTAGTAGTGCGAGTGGTTAGCTAAAATTATCTCGTATAAGGTCTAAAAGTAATCGTGCTTTTTATAAGTTTTATGCAGTGCACGCTTTTGGTGTTAAAATTGTTGACCTTAAGTACAATATTTTTCAAATTCCGCAGAAATCAAAACATATTTCGCTAAGAAACACCTAGTGAATGTTTGTTAGTAATATTGCAGTGATACCAGTGTTTGCTATTTTTTTACTGACTTGATTTCCTTTCCCTTTGAAACGCAGTCTATTAACTCGGCAAGCGTACAAGTGTTCTCTGTAGTATCAGCCTGCTTTGAATTGAAAGTTAGAAGAAATTAATAGCATATGTTCTAATATTTTGAAGGGGCACTGGCGTTCTCCTCCTGCCTACACTCCAGGAGTGTCTGTCTTCTTCCGATGGATCAAGGTCCGTGCAGACTCTATATCCCAAGATATTACTTTGATCAGGCTAGTGGACAGTGCAAGCAATTCATTTATGGCGGTTGCCAAGGAAACGAAAACAGCTTTCCCACGCTGAAGGAATGTCAAAAAACATGTAAGACTAAAAGATTATTTTTATCATTATTATTATTATTATTATTATTATTATTGTTAAAAATTGAGAGTAATAGATTAAGGTAAAGCTACAGATGTCACTCATATTAGGTAAGCATAAGGTCCCTTTATATGTTTTGCTAAGTAGCGCAGTACCAATTAAGACAGAAGGCAAAAGGGCCAGCTTGGTCATGAAAAGATCGTACCTGGGCATCATGAACAATATTGCGAGTCAAATTAGTGGAAAAAAAGAAGTTATAGGACGAAAAATTACAGTAAAATGTTCGCTTCAGTGTTATATCTCTTCTCGCTTACTTTTGTTTTTGTTTTGACTGATTTCGGGTAGATGTTATTTACCCAAAGTCACTGGCCCGTGCAAGGCATATTTTCCGAAATATTATTTCGACCACAAATCTGGAAAGTGCGAAAAGTTTATCTACGGTGGTTGCATGGGAAATGGAAACAGTTTTAAAATCTTCACCGACTGCAACAGAACGTGTGCATGTAAGCGTTTGTTGTTGTTGTTGTTGTGTTTTTTTGTTTTGTTTTGTTTATGTACCAGTTGATAACCGATTATAGTTTTGTTTTGTACTAGGTTTTGGGCACTCTCCACACACTAGCAGAAATCAGAGACTAATATGACAAAGAATATTGGAATTACGAGGGTTTTTTTTTTAGTGATTGTTGGAAGTGGAAAATGTGAGGTCTTCAAACGATCGATAGATAATTAACTGCACCGTGGTGGCCAACCGGCAAAGAGCTGTGCACCATCGCCATGGTCGAAAAAAAAAAAAAAATGTTATAGCTGGAATAAAATGGTTTGTCACGTTTTTCGTTTTCTCACTCAAAAAAAGTATTGCACCTTAAGTTTTACTTTCTTCGTTGTTTTCCTCTCTTTTGCAGGCAGTCAGCTCGACGCCATGGACCCATTATGCTATCTACCAAAAAGAGTGGGACCTTGCAGGGCGCGCATGCCTCGGTATTTCTTCAACATAACTACTTGGAAATGTGAGCTTTTTTATTACGGTGGTTGTCTTGGTAACCAGAACAACTTCTGGCCACGTGAGAAATGCAGCAACAAGTGTGTTTGTAAGTATATTTAACATTTAATTTATTCTAGCAGTATGCAATGCAGAGCAAATTTCCAAATCTTCCCCTGTAGAAAGGAAAAGTATTTACAATAGATCATGTTTGGAAACAAGGGGATCGAGACAAATGCAACATAAACGTTACGCTCAAAATTGTTTTCTGACTAAAGATTAGAGTTTTTTTTTTTACTTATTTTTTTTTTTTATGATTGTTTTTCAAGTTACAAGGCGTACGCGCCGACCGCAGACTAAACTGCACGTGCATTGTAACAAACAAATATAACTACATACATGTATTCTCGAATTCATTTCAATGTTGGCCAATTTATTTATATCTACCTTTGTGTCTGGAAAACTGTGAATCTGCACGCCTCGTCCCCGAGAGCCTGGGAAGGAGGTTGTACAATCTGGTATATGAATAACAGGTGTCTTGTTTTGTTGTAGATTCTCCAATGGAAGTGTGAATCAACCAACTGCGGTTTTGTCAGTTAGGAAGTTAAGGGTTCTCTCACAGCAACAAAATTATGATGTATTCAAACTTGCATGTCTCGCTATGAGACCAAGATAAAAAAAAAAATAATAATAATAAAAAAAAAAAGAAAAATACCATTGAGAAGTAATAATTATGTTAAAGTAATAATAATCATCTGGTTGCTTCGTAGACATAATATCATAACATTGTATTAAAACATTTTTGATATAGCACTGAAATAAAACATGAAAAACGGTCCGGGTACACTTTTTTTTGTTCAAATTTAAGATTCGAGATTTCTTGGTATGACTACTCGTAGCTGTACCATCTTTGGGAATATTCTGTGCGAACCTTCCTTTCAGATCTGTTTCCTAGTCCAGCGCAAGGAGCAGGAGTCGAGGGGGAAGGGAGGGATAGAAAGAGAAAAAAAAANAAACGTTACGCTCAAAATTGTTTTCTGACTAAAGATTAGAGTTTTTTTTTTATGATTGTTTTTCAAGTTACAAGGCGTACGCGCCGACCGCAGACTAAACTGCACGTGCATTGTAACAAATAAATATAACTACAAACATGTATTCTCGAATTCATTTCAATGTTGGCCAGTTTATTTATATCTATCTTTGTGTCTGGAAAACTGTGAATCTGCACGCCTCGTCCCCGAGAGCCCTGGTAAGGAGGTTGTACAATCTGGTATATGAATAACAGGTGTCTTGTTTTGTTGTAGATTCTCCAATGAAAGTGTGAATCAACCAACTGCGGTTTGGCCAGTTAGGAAGTTAAGGGTTCTCTCACAGCAACAAAATTATGATGTATTCAAACTTGCATGTCTCGCTATGAGACCAAGATAAAAAAAAAAATAATAATAATAAAAAAAAAAAGAAAAATACCATTGAGAAGTAATAATTATGTTAAAGTAATAATAATCATCTGGTTGCTTCGTAGACATAATATCATAACATTGTATTAAAACATTTTTGATATAGCACTGAAATAAAACATGAAAAACGGTCCGGGTACACTTTTTTTTGTTCAAATTTAAGATTCGAGATTTCTTGGTATGACTACTCGTAGCTGTACCATCTTTGGGAATATTCTGTGCGAACCTTCCTTTCAGATCTGTTTCCTAGTCCAGCGCAAGGAGCAGGAGTCGAGGGGGAAGGGAGGGATAGAAAGAGAAAAAAAAAATCATTTTTTCATAATGGTTGCGTGGGTTGCTATGTTCCGTTGTTATCTCAATTCAGATTCTCGTGTTGAACTTTTTGGGCAAATATCTTGTACATTGTAGAACTTATTGTATTATCAGTGATCTTAAATTAAAACAATCTTTACCTAAGATTGCTTTAATTTAAGGTAACTGTAGCAGTGCGTCGATTAATTTGATAGCCAATAGCTTGTACAAAAAGGGGAATTAGCAGGCAGCCGTAACGACTGAAAAAGACACAGAAACGACATCATTAAATTTACGTTTAATAATTGCACTGGAATAGCTTTGCCGTTTTCTTCTTTCAGTAATCCAGTAGCCAACAAGACAGCT